TGACGAGGCAACAATAGTCTTATCATGGAAGTCCAACATATTTGTATTTCTTAGAAATGTGATAAGGATCTTCCTGAGGAAGTCCAATATATTTGTATTTCCTAGAAATGAGGCAAGTTTCTTCCAGTGGAATTCCATCATACATAATAATGAAATCAAAATGTCCCTTCATAAGTTCGTATATAGGTGGGTGACATGCTCCTTCAAAAATTCATAAATAGCCTAACTTTAATAATATTTTAACTGGATAAAGTTTCAGGTTCCAAGGATGAGTCGTCCATCCGAATATTGCAAGTTATATGCTTTATGTGGAAACTTCTATAATATGTGATATGGTTTTTCCCAGTTGGGTTGCAACTTTTGCTGCTCTGTAGGTAGAACCACTTGTCTCTTAACCATGTTTCTTTCTTGAGTTTCTCTTAGCATTACCTTAGAGTTGTATGTCTTGGCAAGTCTTTGATTCGTGGAAAATTTTCAAATATGGGTGACGTCTCTTACCTTATCGACTAAATTTGTGATGCTCTTTAGCAACGATCAAACATTAATCTAAGAATCATGTTAGTGACAATTTAACATATTAAATCAATTCTATATTCAAAATTCTAATGTCTATTTTATAAATATTAAAACGCGATTCAGGTAAAAGGTACACGCTCTTTAAATTCTAAAAAACTCATACTTTCAATCGGATAATAACTTTTATCATCAGAGTGTTTACACATACACCAACTCCTTCAAGAAGATATGGGGGCTCTCAACCATGCTTCTGCCACTTTGGTCTTCAGTCTAGGTCCACTCAGAATAATTAACTCCTTATGTGGGAATCAAACCAAATGATTTCACCATAACTGGGTTATAGATATGAAATGCCCTGCACCACAGCAAGTCAAGGAAAGTGAGGAGCGTTGTTGCGTTTGGTTCTCCTCATTTTTTGTCGAAAGAACTCCAACATCATCATTATCATAATTGATACTATATTTTGAAACTAATAAATTCTTACTCATATACTAAAGATCTAGAAAATCATGTTATTTAAATGGGGGACAAAAGACTAACCTCTTGCTCAGCGAAGTAATCATGGTGGTTCAATAAAACAATAGATGATAACACAACAATGCCAATGAACCACTTGTGTCGAAACACAAGTAGCATGACACAAGTAGCATCATATGTGATAGGTGTCTCTAATCAGCTTGGATCACTACTTCAAATTCACGCTAAACTTGGAGTAATAAATTTTTTCGTCCCCGACCAGCTTAGAGATCCCAAATCTAAGTTTGAAGTCATTTCACTCTCTTCTTTGTCGTCATTACATTTATATAAAATCAAGATTTAACAACCACATTGTATATTTAGCTTCAATTACAAAGTCAGACTTTAAAAAATCACATACAACATTTATAACACCTTCAGCCCTTTCTAACAAATTCTCTATTGTTGAGAAACCCAATAAGAAATCAAATTCTCTACCAACCGATGACAAGCAACTTTTAAGTCAGTTCCTAGAATCTCCATAATTTTCCATGCAGAGAGATTTGCATTCCTTTATAGAGATGTGATTAGATGATACTTGAAAAGCTTGTGATTTGCATTCATTAACGAATGAAGAAGAAAGAATAAATTAAATAAAAATGAGAAGTTTCTATTGATAGGATTAAAATATCAAATACAAATAAACTACATTAAGAAACAAACTTAACTTCCAAAAGCTTGACATCTAATCTAAAGCTCAAGTTTTATATTTTATAAGATCAATTTTATAAATAAGTATGTAACTCTCCAACTACTAAAATATTATCACATACTCACAAAAATATTTTTCCAAATCTTATTCTCTTCTCAACTTCTTCTAAAGAGCCTTTGGAAATAGCCAAACTTCTTTTAAAATTCATTATAATCGATTATGAAGAAAATTTTGGCATATAATTGAATATGGTAGTGTAGTCGAATATGGATTGGATTGAGCCTTTCCAAGTTTTCTTTTTTGCCTAAATTTTTTTAATTATAAAAGAGGTTTTATGTTCATTTCTAAACACACTAGTTTCTTCAAAAACTCATTCTTCTCTACTCTCGTCTTGGTCCTAAAATTTTCATACACACTTAATATAGTTTTAGTGTTGAGAGAGTAATCACATAATCACATAATTATCTCTGATTTGTAATTGTAATACAATGAGAAATTTGTTTTCTTGAAATTATATAATATAAAGGTTTTAAGTTGAACTTTTTTTTACATACAAGTTTGGTGTAAAAGTTTTCACGTAGAAATTGAGATAAAATTTAAGTAATAAAAGTTCAAAGTTGATGGTGGAAAATCTCAAGGTGTTATCCTTATGTTTTGGACGTAGGCTTTATGGTTTTGAGTTAAATCACGATATTTTCTGTGTGATTTTTCCTTATTCTTTATCTTTTTTATTTTCTTGTATAAAATTTTGTTGACTTTCTTATTCTTCATCTAAATTCTTAAAAATATTTTAATTTTTTTTTACTTAATCAAGTTTTGAAAACTTTTTTATATCAGAATTTAACTCTCCTCTTATGTTAGAATTCACTTGGTCAATAAAAGATGGGAAGATCAAATTCAATCTTTATTAGTTTCTATAGCTCGTATCTTAATTGCATATATATTAATTCTCCATTTATTACTTCAAGGGTTAAGGGATTCTCGTCATTTTTGCCAAAGTTGATGAGCTCTAGATTTTATTGCGCATCAAAACCGATAGATTGAATTCATAAACACCTCATTGATTGAGTTCCATCTTGGATTTCCTTGAGATTTTCAAATTTATTTCATGTTCAACTTTTAGTCTATCTTTTGGTTCTCCATAAAGGCTAAGAAACATGTATGCAACCCTTCCGAGTTAGATTTTTTGGTGGATACCTTGTCCGTATCTATGTGATACAATTATAAATTGATTTGAAGTCAATCACAAAGAATTATGTCTTCAAAGTTATCATTGCATTCTTCATGTGGAATGGCATTAACCATTCATCGTATCCAAAGTCGGGTAGTGGATTCATTGAATTTATAAAGATTATAACATGAGAATCACTAATCTATCAAGAATCAAATAATGTCGTGTTTTGCTTTGATCTACTTCACTAGTAAGGAAATCTAATGGTTAGGAACACTATTGAGAAGGTTTTTGTTGTAGAATTCTAAAGCAAGCCTCATTTTCTTCCTCGAATAGGCATATTTTTCATCTCCTAAGGAAATCATTTATTTCGACATAATTGCAACTTGCTTGATATGAGTTTGAGAAGCCTTTGAAGACTATTTAGGCTACATAGAAGTGGCTCCGTTGAATACTACTTTGGCTATATATAAAACACGGGTATGCACTAATAGTTTAAAATAGTTTTATAGTATTAATCAATAGAAAAAAATTATTTAACCATGTCATACCAATAATTTAAAATATACAGTCTGATGTAGCAGAATTTATAATAGTAATTAGTTGACAATATAAAATAATTTTACACTATTAATTTATATTTTTTATGAAAATTCTTCTTGTATTACAAGTTTACCGTCCATATAATTAATTTGAAGAGTTATGAAAATTTAAAAATAAAATTATATATATATATATATATATATATATATATATATATATATATATATATATATATATATATATATATATATATATATATATATATATATATATATATATATATATGAGCGAAGCTAGGGCCCGGCTAGGGTGGGCCATTTCCCATACTTGTGGCCCAAATATATTTTTTGATTTGGAGTAAAAAATAGATAGATAATAAATAAAAAAAAGCATAAAATGGAAAAGAAATAGTGGAACAAGGACAAAAAAGAAGACGAAAGAAAAGAAACGAGAGGGAACCACGACGACACGACCCACCGGCCACCTCTCCTTTCGAGTCTTCGACCGTCCAAGTCCGACGACACCCCCACCTCCCTCTGTGTCTGACCGTCTACCCCACTGCCCACTCGCCTCGAAGTTCCAGCCAGTCTGAATCCAACACAAATCGCCACTTGCAAACTCCGACGAAATTCTGGTATTCTCTTGCTTTTCCTTTTTCTTGTTTCATGATTGTCATTGTTCTGTTATTCTGCTTGTGGGTTTGTTATTGGAAAAGAATTATTTTTGATTTTTGATTTGAGAAAGAAGAAGAAAAGAATGCAGCTTATTTTGCACTTGTAGAGAGAGAGAGAGAGAGAGATTTATTTATTTTATGTTTGATTTTCTGCCTAAATTATTATCAATATTGAGTTTATTGTTATTAATTTTGCAGTTTTATTTATTTAAAAAAATATTGATAATAATATGAATATACTGTATAAATTGTTGACTGGTTATTATTGATTGTTTGATTTGTTTCATTCAATGACAGAGATTAGGATATTTTTGGTTGATAGAGCAAGTATTGAGAACGTGAATGGTGTGCAATCAAAAGCCGAATTAGAATCACCGCCTAATAATGTGATTAATGAGTTTAACCCAAATGAGACTATGCGTGATCCAGATCTTAGGAAACAAATTAATGACTATGTTCTGAATATTCAAGATTGAGTGAGGAGGACATATATATTGAAGGGTCCAATACAACCAGTCATCTAGAGGAAGGGGCTTGCACCAATAGTCTAGTCTCACTAGACCCGAAGATACTAGATGGAGTTCACATCATGCTACATTGTTTCATTTGGATCAAATGTGGTCCTCTATGTTAAAGGTGCTTAGTATGGTTGATGAAGATGGACATGGACCATCTCAAGTAGCAGGTTTGATAGAAAAAATAGAGAGCTTTAAATTTGCTTTTATTTTGAAGTTAATGTTAAGTTTGTTTGGTATCACAAACGAACTTTCAAATATCTAGTAAAGAAAATATCTTAATATTATGATTGCCATGGAATTAGTTGATGTTGTTAAAGCTCGGTTGACCAAAATGAGAGAGAGAGTGGTTGGAATAATTTCTTTGTCAATGTCCAAGAATTTTGTGTTGCTAAAGCTATTCAGGTGCCAAATATGGATGGCGAAATATCAGTTTGGGGTCATTCAAGGGTAGAAGGGAGGACTATCACTAATCTTCATCATTACCGTACAGAGATTTATTATGTTGCTATTGAAAAAATATATATGAAAATGGATCACCGTTTTCGTGAAAGAAGTAACATTATCCTTGATTGTTTCTCATGTCTTGACCCCAAAAAATCTTTCTCTAAGTTTGATGTTTGTAAACTTGCTCGTCTTGCTGATATTTATGATGCAGTTTTTTCTGATGATGACCGTTGAATAATAAGGGATCAACTTGAAACTTATGTTCTGCAAGTAAAAAGAAATGCTTCATTTTCCATTTGTGAAGATGCTCAAAGTTTGACTATGAAGATGGTTCAAACTGAGAAACATTTGGTATTTCCATTGGTTTACATACTTATTGAGTTAATTTTGATATTGTCGGTGTCGACAACATCTGCTGAAAGAGTTTTTTCAGCAATGAAGATTATCAAGTCTAAATTGTGCAATAAGATCAATGATGTGTGGTTCAATGACTTAATGATATGTTACATCAAGCGAAAAATATTCAAGTCACTTGATGATATTGATATTATTCAAACATTCACCAGAAAGAAGTCTCAGAAAGGATATTTATCTCATAATTTTATATAACACACATTATAAAATTATGTTTCATCTCTTTTATTTTAAACGATCATTTTATTGACAAAATAAAAAATATTTTATTTGCTCAAACTTTAAAAAAATTTTAACTCCGTCAATATATATATATATATATATATATATATATATATATATATATATATATATATATATATATATATATATATATATATATATATATATATATATATATAACTCCCTCAAATTAATTACATGGACGGCACACTTATAATACAAGAAGAATTATTCCTTATCTAACCATGTAAACACCGGTTTCTAATTTAATAATATGTTTGTGTTTAAAAAATAATAATCTATGAGATGATTGAATTTAAATGAAGGTGACATATGACTTTTCGCCAAATACTTGGGTCACTATCATCAACTGCTACGATGTGTCGTGCTCAAGCGTTGGTAAGAGACACCATGTATTAATCCATCTTCTAATTCTGGAATTAGGTATTAAACAATTTGTAATTAAGAATTTAGTCATTAAATGTTAAGACTTAAGAGCTACTACTTGACAAACCAATTCTGAAGGTTTTCTTTATTGAATGAAGGAATTTTGTTGCAATATAAAAAGAAGCTTATCTAAAAGATCCTACCATTACAACCATATCAATGGTAGTTAGAATAGATAATCAGTTTATTCAATAAGTTTATTAGACAAATGATACCTACACGATTGAGTACATAGTTTCAGTATAACAAACTGATATTTGGCATCATGGTGGATTTTGTTCTAAACTCAACATAATACCGAATATGTACTTAACGTTTTTGTTTAACAAGTCTAAAGAAGTAAGTTTTTATGAGAAAATGTAAGTTTTTATTACATTAATATGAGATATACTTGGCTTTTCATTAAATAACTATTTTGCGGAACGTTAAACAATAATTTTGTTATTTCGAATTGGAATAGAAAATTAATAGGAAATTGGTGAAATTTATCCTAAAGGTACTATTTTGCGAAACGTTAAACAATAATTTTGTTATTTTGAATTGGAATAGAAAATTAATAGTAAATTGGTGAAATTTATCCTAAAAGTCTATGATATGATGGTGGAGGTCTCTAATGGACGAATATAGGAGATATACTTGTAAAATTAACACTTCAATATTAAAGTCAATAAAATCAGAGATAAAAAGCTTGCAAGTATATAATGAATTATACCTTGTGTGTGGGGAGCATTGGGTGGATTCCAACAGTCGAAATAAGCATGGTGTGTGGCTTTAGGCGGGACTCCATAATGAGAGTACACTTGTTCGTTAGTTTTAGAGGGAAAAGCTTTAAATTGGTCCTTCGTATTGGGTCGGTCTTATTGAGTCATTTGACTAGTCCGGAACATCTGCCCCTAAGTCCTTACTATCTGAAATTCTAGTATATCAGACTTCAGATGTCCTAAGAGATGTCGAGACAACTGATATGAACAAAACACACAACCAAGGTATAAACATACAAAAACAGTACAAAAAAGTAAGCAACACACCAGAGTTATTAACCTAGTTCGGAGCAACTCTCCTACTCTGGGGGCATATCAAGCCAGGGATAAAGTCCATTATAATAGTATCAATTCAAAGCTAAAATCCCCAGTTTACAACTTCTCACTTAATCACCGCTCGTGCTAACTTTTTATCTAAGACTCACCTAGATATGAGGGCTTTCACAATCCCTCATCAATCACAGACAACAATTGGACAAAACAGGAAGACACATTTCCATGACGCAAAATTAAAAGACACACTTCCATGACAATACCTGGTCAAGATTCTTGACTAAGAACACAACTTGGAGTTACTTAAAAGCTTCTTCCAAGAATAATACTCATTATTGCTTCACGGCTTCGAGGAGAACAGAACCTTACAACTCAAGAAACACATTCCAACTCACATGACGAGTGGAACACACAACCAAATTTCCTAGAGAGTGGCACAGACTCAACTCTAATAACTACACCTTTTCATTCACGGCTGATACCTTCTTAGGTTACAAACACTTCTATTTATGACATGTTTCCCAACTGGATTTGGGCTTTAAATCACAGCATATTAGTTGTTACAAATCAGCAGAGTCTTCTGCTACAAAATAGGTCTTCAATCATATTATTCCTAATTTATCTCCATAATTAAAAAGTGAATATTCCTCTTGATTTCAACTTGAATCTTCCAGGCCTGTAAAATAGCGTCATATAGGATAGCATAATATTTCTAGAATATTTTTCATTTGTTAAATCTTGAACTGATCCAGTTGTCCAGTCCAACACAAGCGCGATGTCGAGTGACTCTGTATAGAACATCTTATCTGACATGTTGCTCCAGTTGTTGAAACATTTCAACTCAACATGTTCTTCATAAAATAGAACTTCAACTTGCTTTCTCCTACAAGTTAAAAAATCATATTTAACATATTGTTGTTATATTAGTTTTACCAATCATAAAGCCAATAAAAAAAATAGAATTAACAATCTCTCCTCTTTGACTTATTTTGGCTAAAACTAATTTATATAACCTTTGCATAAATACAACCAGAACATAACTCAAGGACTAAACAATACAATTAGTTAGCAACAATCATAAACTAAAAACATCAGAAGCATTCAGTCTTTAGTCTTCACACATTTTATAGTCTTAAGTCTTCACTGTCTTCAGTCATGATGTCACAACATTAACAATGGAACTTATTCATGACAGTCCACCACAAATATTCTCACTCTCTTTTAAGGGAATCAACAATTAACTCATATTTTCTCCCCCTTAAAAGCTTCCCACACACACAAACTCTCCCCTTTTTTATCCAGAATATGACAAAGTCAACATCCTTTGACAGATTGATGTGAAAACATCACATCTAACATCTCTTCACATTAGCCCAAATAAACTTAACACAACAGAACAACAACCTCGGAATAAAGAGAGAAAGTCCTGAAGTCATGGTGTACATGAGGAAGAAGATAACTAACTCTCCCGCTAAACCCATGATCTTAAAACACCAATGTGGCATAAGAGGAAACTTAAGAACAAATCAACCACCACCGTGGATAACTCAGAATACAAGTCACAACTGTGTTCAGAACTCATATCACAAGTCACAAAAACAACAAAAACAACATGGCACAAAGTAGAACTTCCTATTCCACATCTTTGCAAAAACTTCCCCAAAAGGTACTAATCCATACCCGAACAAAATCCAAAAATACTAGACAATCACAAGATGAAGGAAGAGAAGAAAATGGACCTCCATAAACACCTGAGCAAATACCTAGAACTAATGAACCTAGATTGTAACAGTGATCTTGGTCAAAGAGAATGTTATTTGAGAAAGAAAAAACTACTTCAAGCATAAATGTGCACCGTCCAAAACAGTTTTGAATGCTTTTAAAGAATCAGGACCAGTTCTTTTTGAAATGACAATTCCAATACATGCACATGCACAGTCAAATACACTTTCAACACACTCTTCAGACACGTGTTTGATCAAACTGTCCACAATACTCCCTTGTCGGTCTTATAAGAAACATGTCCTGAATAATATCCTGACATCAAGTCAGACATCGTCTGCTTTTAAAAAAACTTGACCACACATCTTCAATCACCAGTCAAGGATGCTTCAAAAAATTATCCACATGTTCTGAAGCACAATCACACATCCTTCCACTAGTCTTTGAGACTACTTCTTTCAGCCATAAATAGTAACACACCAAGACAAGTGTGACATCACCCATCAACAAAGACCTTCAAAGAGTCCTTCCAAAATATGCCGAGAAAAATAAATTCTCCCAGACATAATCAAGACTGCTCTTCAGACTCTTTCTAGGGAACATGTAAGCAAATGCTTCAAACAACTGGCTTCACATAGCTAGCACAGCACACCAACAACAATATTCAGCAACCCAATGTCACAACATGTTTGTCTCACATTATAACTTCATGAGAGGAAGATAAGTTCCACAAGCTTGAACATTAAACAAGCTTCAAAAGCATGCACCACTACAACAATAAACCATAGACAAGTAATAACTCCCCTTGTCATGGATAACCAAGGCTCCTGCTGAAGAAGGACACTCAATAGTGAAGGGCCACATATTCATACAACTATTGGCCATACATTGTGAATTCACTCCTGGACCAAATACTCTAGCTCCTTGAAAGCACACTCATGTCTTCAAACTTCTTCATTATAACATGGACATATCTGAACAGTGTCCTCACACATGTTGTCATGATTATTTGGATGGTTGAGATGTCATGCACACTTGGTCTGTAACAAACTCATAACCTCCACACATTCTTAGCTTTCTTAAAAGCTTTATTGAGATCCAAACAAACCAAAACCCATGCCGCAGAAGAAAACCACTTCATCAACATCTTCTTGATCATATCACCCTACATGGAACTCTTCTTCTGCTCTTAGAAATTGTTGGACTAATTGTTATCTTCAATCATGACAGAAGTCATGCATTCACCACACACCCTATAAGACAGGGTCAGAAGCTTCACATCCTTCTTCATCATAGTTAGAATTTCCCAAGCCTCTTCCAAACGACAATCACAAGAAAGCATGATGTTACAACATCACTTAGATCACCAGCTTCTCACTACAAAACCCAATCACT